CAACTTCTATACAATGAAAGCAGACCGTGATCATAGAAAAGACCAAACTATTATGATCCCTTTACCGTTGAATAAGTGATGGAATTACATATTTTAAATAGAACTTTAGTAATAAGTTTTTTTGGCTTACATGTATCTTTTTGAGCTTGCTTTGAATCTTTCCCTTTATCCGCTCTAGCCAATAGGCTTCACGAAATAGATCCCAGAATGCACGACCGATCAATGCATTAAGCCAAACCAGCTGAGGATCACAGTTGATAAAATTAACGTTGAGACGTAAAGCCTGTGAACCCCGCACCAACCAATCTGCAGGCATAAATTTAGCCATATAGCGGACGTAGGAGACATATAAGGGCTCCCGGCTCGCTGCAATAGTATCACCCTGACCAACAAGATCAATGTGCCTTAAACGAGAGTTAGACGGCGAGAAGCAAGCCCCGAGTTGATTAGTCACTACTGTGGGAGCAGGGGTAGGTGAGCAAGCATAAGTAGTAGTGGAAATGATAGGAAGTGAGGAGCAAGTGGTAGTAACTATGCTGTTCTGACTTATAAAAGCCGAAGATGTGATGGCCTGCAGGTCTGACAGGCTGGATGCTACAGAGACTGGCAGACACTCAAGGCGATCAGTCTCAGTGGGGAGAGTGCTCTCAAGGCCATCATCGTAAGAACTCGGTACAGATGTGGCAGGATAATTGTGCTGAGCTGGACAGGCTAAGAAGTTGAGAACGGCCTGAAAAGTAAACAGAATCAAGCCAATTTTTATGATGCGAAATATCCACACACAAAAATTAGCAACTGATTCAACTGCAATGATCAGTTTTGCCTTACAACGCTTGACGAAAAAATAATTTTATGTTTAGATAAATAAAGTTTACTCATGTCTAAAGTGATTCGAAACAGACAACTCCTTTGGATACATAATAATTAGCAATCACTTCATATGCAGAGATTCTTAAGAATTAAAGACCGAGGGGACATGGGAAGAGAAATCAACAAGTCAAAAATGTTTAGGAAATAATTTTTTAAAAAGTTTACTTTATCAGGCA